GTTTAGTACATCACCAACTAATTAATTATTTAGCTGCATTTAGCCGCACAATGGACTGAAGAGTCAAGTCATTTATGGTAAAGTAAAATGATAGATCCAAACAAACTTATGAACATGTGTAAAATGAGAGTGCGAATTTGGAAGGAGCCAGCAAAAGCAGCAAAAACACCAAGCAACTTGCACAACAAGGAAGTACACAACAAAAAAGCCTCAACCCTTATTGATACAATAACAACAATGATGATGTTTAAAACGTTTTGTGCAGCACAACAAGTTGGAATTCGTACGATTTGGCTCATTCACTTGGATTAACTCAATTTTCGTATATGGCAACAAAGAGCAAAGTGTCACACTCTTAATATAAGATCATATGGCAGCAGAAACAATGGTGCTGACAATAACATTAGGCCTAAGAAAAACGAAAAAATACAACAAAAAAACACCAAAAAGTAAATAGGCTTTAATGGACAAATACAGAGACACAAAGTAGCAAATCTGCATATTTTAAATCGGTGCTGTAGAAGCGCACACGATATGCTCATGCTCAATTTATGCAGCAGCCAATGTAAAGGCGAACGAAACGACGACCCCCACTTTGTATATAAACTATGTAGATCAATAGGCCTATATCCAGTGAACCATCTCAGTTCGATATTAAAGCATCAACGCGGTGCGACGCGCCAGATCGAACGAACAAATAAAAATATCGAAACAATTCGAATATTGATAAAATACGAACGCAAACGGTGATACCCAAGTGTTTTGTGAAATATTGAAAAAATTTTATATAAAAAATTAACTTAAATAATTGCAAAAATGCGTCTTCTGATCGTAGCACTCGCACTCTTCGCCGTTAGCGCCATAGCCGTGCCACAATATGGATACGAACCAGCAGGCAGTACCAGTGGATTAACCGCACGCAGCAGCAACGGAGTCCTCGGCGGCAGCGGTGGTGTTGCGTCCGGCATTGGTGGTGGTGCTATTGGTAATGGTAACTCCATTAGCCATGGCAGCGGACGTGGTGGTGATAAATACCTACCACCCGAATCCGAACAACAGGCGCCACTCATCAACAAACAATTCTACACCATTTCGGCACCGGAAGATAATGTCACCAAATCGAAGCATTTGGTTTTGGGCAAACCACAAAAGAATTTCCGTGTGATCTTCATTAAGGCACCCACACCCGATAATGTTAAGTACTCTGCCGAATTCGCGCCACAAGAAGAGAAAACCGTTATCTATGTGTTGCACAAGAAGGGTGAAGATATCGATGCCGCCAACATTGGTACACCAGCACCAACTGTGCCCAGCAAACCAGAGGTATTCTTCATCAAATACAAAACACCCGAGGAGGCACAACAGGCACAGAAGGAAATTCAGGGTAAGTGTTGAGGATCTAAGAGAGCGCGCGCAAAAAATTGTGTCGGACAAAGCTTAAAGGAATTATCACAGCCTATATACCATATATAGCAATATAAGCCGCAAAAGCTCATCTTTAACCAGACTTCCATTGCTTTCTCTCTTCCAGACCAATACGATCAATTGGGCGGCAACAACCAATTCGGTGAAGACACTGCACCCATCACCTCCGTGGTTGGCGCTTTGGACAGCCTTAACCCTGATGGCAGCTACAACTATCGCCAAGTGAACGGCGGCAGTGCCAATTTGGCGGAGCCACAACAGCCACAACAGCCCAGCTCTCAATATTTACCATCTTTCTTGAAAGTTTAATTGGAATTTGATATGAAAATTTACGACCTACTTGGAATTTAGTATTTAGTTAGCAATGTTGATTAATAGTTAAGCGAAATCTGTGACAAGCGTATTCGTTATATGCGCACATTCTTTGTTATATCTGTTTTTATTTTTATTTGTTAAATGTTGTTTTCTTGTTTTAAATAAATTGAAATCGAAATTCATACGAATTGTGTTAGCAACTAAATACATGTTGGGTTTGGGAATATCCCAGAAATATTTGCATATCTCTTTTTCAGATTTCCTAATTAGCTTTGTATTCCCTTTTATGTATGCAATTCTGCCAAATTCAGAACCGTATACAGTTACCACTTTTGTTGAATTCCTTTGGCTGAAGGCCAACAAAATTTTATATTTCTATTGATTATTTATAGCCTAGTTTCCAATTCAGCGCTGCTGTTGGAAATACCCAACACTAAAGTTATACTAAAGGTCAATATCAATATCATGAATGTCACTTTAGTGTGTCAAACAGACATCACTTAAAAAAATTCTGGCAATTTTGATAAAATACAATATTAATAGAAAGTTATAAAAAATTTAAATAATAAAAAGAATATTTAGAAACAATTAAGAACAATAAAAAGTTAAAAAAAAATATTTAAAAAGATTGTAATAAAGAAGTAA